TCGCTGTCTTCTTAAATAATTAAAAAAGTCATTTATAACAAATCATTATATTAATGCTCATTATCAAACGTGATACGGAAGTTAATATTGGAGCAATTATTCAAGCCTCATGACAGATTACGATGGCGAGTAAATATATTAAATAGAAATGTTTGATCTTTCTTGAACGAAGACTCTGGAGAATATGGTTTAGCTATCATATAAGGCAAGATGGAATGATAATTATAGAAATGTATCGTCGCTTTGGCATAAAGGGAAATTACGAATTGACAGTAATAGATTAAATAGATTCATTTATGAATTATTTACAATCAGCATTATTCCATGAAATAATAAATCTTGGCAAGTTAATGTTATCAACATCGCATACGGCGAATGTTCTCGAAATTTGCGTATTATGAGCAAGCATCAATTCTATATAACTGATATAGCGAGTATGTTCACAATAATTTTTAAATACATACTTGTATAGTATATTAGGTAAACACATATGCAATCCTGTTTCTCTACATTCCGGTAGTTTAACAGTCTAGTGTGAAAATATACGTTTTACATGCAGCATACAGTAGTATTATTTCAAAGGTTATAGGCATGGATCCGGACGTTCAGTGTTAAAAATTAATAAATGCTTGATAAGCACTTTCAGCAATATATTTATTCTAGAAATATTATAAAATAACTCATGTGTGTTAGAGAAAGACGTTTAAGAAGTTTTATGGCTGAAAATAAAAATACATAAAAGAAGATAGTTCGAAAGTTAATTTCAATTAAAGAGTTATTTGTTTTAAGGTTTATTATCTATTCACTGGAATCTCTCTAATACTTTGGACAAAATAAAAACAATAATTGACCCTTATTTAGGCGTTAGTTGCCTCGGTCTTGCACTAAACACATAATCTTTATCTAGTGACTATTTTTGCAAACTTATTTCAAATCCTGTGATGAATCGAAAAAGAAATGTGGACCGGACACACAACATGCTCTAAAACATATCTTAATAACATTTGAGCACTAAAGGTGATCTTGACCTTTAACTATGGGTCTTGGTGTTACGCTTGACGTATCTACTTATTGTGGTGACCCTTTGTTCCAATTTATTAAAGGAACACTTGACAGATAAAAATTTGGTAGTGGTTTTGGTCGTTTACTGTTTTTTATCATACCGTAAGCCCTTTTGAGTTCACCAGTTAACAGTTTAGTCACCGCATCGTTTCTGGGCAGACTGGCAAAGTGTTTACCAGTGTACGTGCTTTCACTTTCACAAGGAACTAGTTTGTCTTCTGTACATGCTTGTAAGAGCGGATATACAGTGCAAATGACCTTAGAAAGGATTTCATGATTAATTAGAAGAAGAGTGACATTTACCGTCCGGGAATGGAACCAGTCCAACTCTTTAATAATTTAGATTATCGGACTGGTGGGTGAAAATGTTCAGCAAAACAGGAAGTTAAACGATACTCAGTCATTGCGTAATTTGATCTTCAAGTGTGACCTTTGCATTAGATTAAAGGGTCAGGTTTAATGCATCGTCTTATTACGGTATATAACGGTATTTGTGCCGAGTTAATAAAAATATCTTGATGAATTTACCGAACACGAAGTGTGACGGATTGACTGTACAACTCATTATTAATGTTGAAATATGCTTAGACTGGTGCTAGGGGCCGTGTACTGTAGCTTACGATTACCACTACCGTTCATGAACAGGCTCAATTAAACCGAGTCTGCAATATTTTCAATTTTGCCGTGTTGCGCTTTCTTTAGGGATTCTGTTTTTCCCTATTTAATTCACTCTGTAATAATAAGCATGCTTAAAACTGAAATGCCGAACTAGTAACATTTTAAATAGTTCATGTTTTGCACATTGATATAGCATATGAACCAGCTGGAGCAGGAATTACATTATACATTCTATAAAACTGTGTCTGTAATGTTAGTGCTCAGACATTGATCCAAGTTAAATCTGTTACAACAGTTCTTAATTAAGCATTGATCCTTTTCTATACCAAACATAAGCCAGTGATATTGATAAGAAACAAGCAAGATAGAAAATATTAACAAATATTTTTGCGTTGTTACATAAACATACCTTGTATTTATATAAAACGAAAAAAAAGTAAAAATAGTCATGAAAATAAAAAAAAATGGTTGAACAAAAATAGGTAAAATGCGCCGACTCAGTTTGATAGTAAAATCATTAATGGATCAAAGGGCTGCGGGCTCTGTGGCATTTTTTTATCGATGCAATCTAAATCATACTGTATATCTGTATTAATTTCCCTGTATAAGTTAATTTTGAAATACTCTAATTCATCTTGCAGGGCACCGAGTTGCAGCGACTGCGTTTAGATTTTTGCTATAACAGTTTGAGTTTGATACATACGGCATTTTGCATGACCAGAGTTTCTACTTGCATCATGAAATCATTTTTGTTCATTTTTTATGACAGCCTCACTTTATCCTTGCATATTCTGGCTAATTCTTATAAAATCGCTAAAAAGAATAGTTGCCACGACTGAGATTTGAACTCCAGACCTCTTACATTGTAAACGAATGTGCAACCCTCGGCCACGGTGATGTGATATATGATTCGACTGAATAAAACGATATTATTCTAAATTTAGAATTTCAATTTATTTTTCGTAATTCTTATTAATTTCTATGTAAACCTGTTGTTTAACACTGATGTTAATGTTTTGGCGAACATCTTCTCGCCCAAACAGTCCGATATGTATATATTTCACTACTCGACAGTCAGATTTAATTGTGTAATACGCGCAGAAGTATTCGGTAATCGACAGCGCTAAAAATAGCATCTTCTTTACATGGATTAAATTATCGGGTGCTTAACTTATGGTAGAAATTGATTATCGATCGTCGACTGCCCTAAATTTGTCCCTGTCCTTGTGTCAACATCCTTACTTTTCTTTTCAGAAATGTTCATTTAGGGGCGTTTTATTCCGATCACAATAATCCGAAGCTTTACGGAAATAGCCGAGACATTTTCATTGATTAAAATGAAATTCATCCGAGTAATGTTTTATTGTGCATTTATTGACAATTCTATAAGCCAAAGCTACATTTTAAGTTTGAAAGCGTGGTTAATTGATGGACACTTGTAACAAAATATAATTATTTCTTTCTTTTACATCGCTAGTTTTAACCTATTTTGAGAACTACTTGTTGTTAGATTTGTCGGGAGGTTGATTGTCAGCATTGTATTTCCTGATCTGCGATCAGAAAATACAAACACAGAAAGCGTATTGCAAATTAAACATTGACATCATAATTTTGAAATGACAGTATTAAACCGATTCATCTTATTAATTTTATTCATTTTTGTCTACCTTAAATTCGGTTGTTCAAGGTTTTTGTTGTTGTTTGTTTGTTTGTTGTTGTTTGTTTGTTTTTTAATCATAAATGGTTCTTAATAATTAACTTTAACAAGTGACTCAGCAATTTAATTCTAAACAAAATATTCATTATCATTATTAAGGTGAATGTATGCTTATCTAAGTGTAGCTGATAATGAACAGATATTAACTTAAAATAACTTGACATTTTGGCATAATTTCTATCAATGTTTTTCAATGGTTAAATTCTTAAAATGCTTTGGGCAGTCTTTTGATAGTATCACAAAACATTTTCAATTGTCAGTGATTGTTCAATCACCATTTTAATAGTCAATCTTTTAAAAAAAAATATATATATTACTTACTCAATTCGATAGCAAAAAGTGAGCATAATGCCTTGTTAAGCTTTATTGTTTTTAAAATGGTTTAAAATATTATAGTTTGTCAGCTTTAATAACACTACTAAATGCAGATCGAATGCATGTACTGATTTAATTCTTTCATAAGCGTTTTTAGCGTGATTTGTTAAAAATTAATAATTTAAAAGTACTGAAAAAGATGTAGCTACTTAGATTATTTAACAAAAATATAAGCTTATCACGAAATACTAAAACTAATAGTGCATGTTATCTTTTCATTACATCATCGCTGTTTAAATTATAAGATATTTGAATTTTTTGATATTATCTTTAAGAGGCATGATGCGCTAGGTGGATCTTTCTGTCTGCTGATACATTGCGTGATAAGGAAATATTTATGTGTCTAACACACGCACTAGTGTGAAATTAAAACTAACATTTGCAGTGAAGTTTGCAAATTGTATCTTACGAAAATCAATAGAAAAAATTGCTAAAGCTCAAAATAAGCAACAGCATATTAAGAAATTTTGTTTTCATGTACATGTATACATTTTTAATATGAGTTTTGTTTCTTTTTTACTTAAGGCCTCTGTTAAATTACACAGTTGTTTAATCACGTATGGTATCTATAATGATGTAAGTAGTTGTTATATAAGAAAACACTTTAGTAAGAATTTGCTAAACTTATTTATATTTAGATACATCTCGGTAGTATAGTTGTTAATTAAACAAACGCACATTATGCTTTTTTTTTCTCAACCAAAAGGGGCAAAACAGTTTATAATCATGTTATGATTATGTATAAGTATTTAAAGTTATTGGAAGAAAACAAAACAATAGCATATTTGGAAATGGATAAGGGTTTTTAAAGTCAACATTAGTTTCTTTCTTTTAATTATTACTCTTGATATCTGACTCAGCTTATAAAACAAAAATTGATCTGTATGAACCTTTTATGTTTAAATTACGTAGCACGAAAACTCAAATTGACCACACATGCTTGCACTTTTTAATGTTTTGCCGCTAAATTTGTTTTATTTACCTACTCTGCTTAAAATCCATTGAAGTGTGAAAGGCCTCAGTAGAAAATTAAATGGAAGTCAAGGATTTATCAACCGTTACCTTAGTACCTAGTTAATTTTTAGCTTTATAGCTTAGTTGTCTTACAGGACAACCATTGGCAGTTATATGCAACCATGTAACCAAAACACTAACACACAAGTGGTTTGCCAATCTTTAGAAAACAATATATCTTTCTATGTATATAATTGATGTTCATATTTTTCAGTAACTTCTGCTCTAACAACACGTCAAACCATTCCAAAATTCCTACAAACACCTAATAACGTAACAGTGCACCGGGGAGAACTCGCAGAACTTATGTGTCACATACAAAACCTGGGACCGAAAACGGTAAGATTGTACGTTTATAACTACGCACATGTTTGCATTGCTTGTGTTCTGCTTACGTGTTCCATTGAATCATACAGTCGATACAATGATGAATTTTGATTTTCTACTTACCAACAGGGAATAAATGCTAACTTTAAACTATTTTCGTCAAACAATATGGCTGGGCTAAAACACAAAATGTACACGGAACGGAACGTGCCATTCAATATCTTAAAGAACATATACTGGAATTTGAATTAACGTGAATTGAACTTATTCTACCATCTGTTTCAGGTTGTATGGAGGAAGGCATCCGAGGAGAATCCATTGACACTGGGAACGACAATATTTCCACAGGCAATGGAAATCAGTATCAATCATGCAGACATTTCACCCATAGAAAGTAAATGGAATTTACTTATAAAAAACGTGCAACCAAAGCACGCTGGTGTTTACGAGTGTCAGATAAGCTCAACGGGCATATACACACGTTATGTTGCGCTTAATGTTTTAAGTAAGTACCAAACAGTATACCTCAATTTGCTGAACTGAAAGATGTAAAATATCGTTTCGGCAGTTGATTCGTAGTCTCTGTCGTTAATTTTGTTTATGGTCGCTTAAAATGTACACAATGTATAGGTTCAGTCAAACCGAACCTGCAACATTTTCAATATTGCCGCTGCTGTAGATTTTCTTTAGATACCCTATTTCTTTCAATGTTTAAATGAAAGTCTACGGCATTAAGTATAATTAAATATAAGCGTTAAACTAGGCTAAGCGTTATATTTATCAAAATAAAAAATATTCGTTTACCTCATTCCAAGAATTGCAAAAGTTTCTTCCAGGAAAATACAATTAATATCAGTTTTGTCTTACTGCTTTCGATTATCATTTTTATGATAGATGTATCATGTTAGTGTTTTTAAATCTAATATCGATTCTTGGGAAACCTTAATATTTGGAATGTTTTCAAAACGTAGGGTTTAGCTTCAAGCAAATCTTTTGATTGATTTGTATTGATATCAGAAGTAGCGTATAATAATTTTTTATAAAGACACCACAAGTAAGGTTATTCATTAGTAAATGTATCAGAAATGAACTTTTACAAAGTTGTATTCTAATGTATTGTTTGTCTTTCAGAAAGTCCAGTTGTCAGGAAACCAAGTAAGTACACAAACTACGGGTTAGAAAAACATTAATCCCTAATTCTTATACTACCATTTAGATTGTAGATGAAGAATGTAGATTCAAATATTCTATAAATATCTTTTTTTAATTGTCACTTATGAACGTTTAAGTAAATGTATGCTAATAATATAGTGTTATAATCTTTGAATTTTTTTTTGTAAGTTACTTTAAATTTATGATTGGTAAGCAAATGATCGATTTAGATAAAAAGTGATATTATTTGTTGACCAGACGTTTGAATTAAATAAGAATATGGTAAGATGCAGTCCGCCTTGAACTGATACTAATAGCGTTATATAATCTGTTGAGCAATCGTACTGTACAATTAAGAATTTTCTTCGTTTTTTACAATTTCTTTTTCATTATAGTCCTTACCTCAAATTGATTTTTAAAAAAGCCCTTAATACTATCAATTCTTAAGTATATGTATCTATCTGGCGTCGCATAAGCGCAAAGAAGGATACATACCTCAATTTGGAAAAAGGAAAAAAAGTAAAATAAATAAACTATCGCGTATTCTAGTAATATGACAATATTTGGCGCATCATCCCTAAAAATGTTTAGAATATTACATTTGTTCAATTATTTGCTTTTCAGAACTAACAATTACGGGTACGCAGTATGTAAACCGATATAATGATATACATTTAGTGTGTAACGCAACTGGTGTTAACAGAGCACCAGAAGATGTTGACTGGTTTTTTAATGGGAATAAAATTCATACTACACATCCACATTGGTATGGACGAATAGAAATAGTGAAACATCGGCCTCTCCCAGGACGATCTTATATCAGTGAATTAATTATACATCTCAGTACCATGGAAGATCAGGGAAATTATGTGTGTCGCAGTTCTGACTTAAACGTTAATAGTATGAATGTTCATATATTAAATGGTAAGTGACAAGCAATACAGTGTTTTAGGCCAAAGTTACCAAAAACAGCCAAGTAGATATATTTCGAACACCTCCAGATTTACCATTTCGGTATATCGTTTACCCTTAAAAAGCTGTTCAGAAAAGATTGCCAGGAATGATGCGTAAAACAAATGTATTTTAATGTTGTTGTTTTTTTGTTCAGGAAAGGTAGCGTATCCTGTAAACTGTTTCATAATGTTAATAATATTACCGTTATTCTTTACTTCATTTTTCTGATTGTTTTCAAGTCGATATATCAAATGTCCTTTTAATAACATCCAGTTCGTTTTATTCCAATGTGTCCCATCCTGTTTGCTGTGCTGGGCTCCAGGTCTTGAGTAGTTTGGGATGCGTTCATTGAGTTCATTCCCTTCCTTGTTGATCTTGCTTTCAATGTTTTGTTGCCAGTACATGACATTTTTTTTGTAACTATTCATATTAGTTTTAAATAGCAAACCTTTGAATTTATGTTTTCAGCAGATAAAGATACAGGCATAAAAATACGTGGTAAGTTTAATACTTTGAAACACATTTGAATAGTAAAAAACGTGACAATCACTGTAACTATCACAATCATTGCTTGCGGGTAAGAAACAAACATATTTTTAGTTATAAAGATTTTTGACAGGTGATATGACCCTACATAAACGGTTGTTTGGACACAGAACCCAATGCGATGGTTATATTGCAAACAACCATTTATATACGGTCATACAACCTGTCAGGAAGATATATAATGAATGTAATATACATTAAACTTCCCTTGCTAGAAAAAAGTAAGATTTCTTAAAAAAAATTACAGCAGCCGTGTATATGAAACTATATAAACGCCATGATTATCCAATTAAAAGCGACGTTACAAACATGCAGTATTATAAGACGTATTATGTTTTGGACCTTTTCCATTAAGATTTTGAAGATATAAAGTTAACATTCAAGATAAATACAGTGGTATGCAGAATAAAGTTTATGGTTGATTTTGGTGAACACTGCAAAATTTAATGATTAATTATACCTGTAACTAAATTTCCATGCGACATAGCTATGTCGGTATAATTTAATAGTTATGGTGGTGGAATGATTTACAAGGACATTTTAATGTGCAGATAAATATAAATCAATATCGATGAGATTAGTGTTAATGGTGTTCAGATAAATTTGACAACTTTGAAAAAAAAATATACGTGGTCAGTTCCATTTAAAAAAAACAGTGCATTTTATCTAACATCAAACCAGAACGCTCAATAAGAGCCATTGCTATCGCCCATAGTATGTTAAGAGTCTTGTTGCGTGCGTCGTTAGTAATCTACTTTTTCTATTGAGAGAAACTGCTTTGAAATTTATATTGTGTCAACACTTCTGAGTACTGTTTTTTTTTATTTGATAATCAGTTGACCTAGATTTTGGCCCTTTACTTTTCATTCATAGCTGACTTATCTAAAACGATCCATAATAGCTTCTTGTAATCATTTATAAATGATTTGTTAACACGATTTATGTGCATATCCTTTTATAGATATTGTTTTAAACAGCTTAAGATATAAATACCCATGAAGGATTACTTTTTTTCTGTTCCAGCACCAGGTGAGGAAAGTGAAAAGATGAAAACGGCTGAAACGGGTACCCGCAACAAGACGTCAAGGGCAGTTATATCATTAACATTATTTATCACACATTTGCTATTATTGTTTACTGCATTGACTTGAAAGACGTGTTTGACAAGCCAGCATAAACGGTGTAACGTTCTTAAAGCAAAAACAATTGCTAATTAAAATATTCCTTGCAAAGAAATAACTGCGGTTTGCAGTGGCACTTTATTCTTCATGAGTGTTTGAATACAAAGGAGGCGATAATGTTTATTGTTCTTAAGTGCGCGACGTTTACTTCTATGAGAGTATATGGCGTCCCTGTCTGGAAATGCGTTCCAAACCTGCTCTGAAATGAAGATCCGTGCCGACTGCATATGAAAATATTTAACATCAATTGTGTTTTATGACCGTCTACTTACAAACAGTTTTGAAGATGTGTATTTTATATTTTTGACAGTACTTATTATCTTCTGTGAATGGCTCGTAAACATATTGTTACTAAAGTAGAAAATAATAACGATCTAATAAAATAGTTATGTGCATAAACGTATAAGCGTATGGTTTGTTTACTAAGGAAATTTTAGTTAATATTCTGCACATTCAATAAAATGAATGATACACGAATCGAGGAACACGTTTTCAGCTTATGTTGTGTTATCAAATTGTTTTATATTCTTCATTCTGTGTCGATTTTTTTTAAACATTTAATCATTGCTTCAAACAATTTTTGTACATAGAGTATACAGTTATCACACAACTATAGATCAAATTGCAGAAACGTTGCACAACACCTTATCAAACATTATATTAAATATAATAGATAAGTTTTTCCATGAGTTTGAAATCAAGGTCCCTGTCATCAAGATTATCAACTGAAAATTTACTTTATATTGATTAATGGTACGTGTAAATATTTAATGGTCATGACATGTGTAGATTTAAAATATTTAAATAAGCTTACTGTCAAATATGCGTTCAGCTACATGGTCACGGGAACTCTATTATAGCTGTTATTTAAACAACAACAACAACAACAATTAAACCAAAGGAGGTTATAAAATTGACGTTATGCAGAAATACAGCAAAATTGTTTATCCGGAGTAACTGCTTCAGCTCGATTCTTTGTGATCGTGACATTACCGGGATAAAACACATGTACTTAGATCAATTACAAATACTAGTTTGTTTATGGTTTAAGGTATTGTGTTATTTTTTAACAAAAAGTATTTATATTACTAGAAAAAACAAGATCTGTCGTTGTGCCTTAATGTTGTAAATTAGTTTCATGGTTGGTAATCGTGGTTGTGACTGCAATGGATAAGCTTGTATGTAACATGATCAGATTGAGGTCAGGACCAATATTTTACTCCTTTAAATCGCCTCTTAAGAGAAGCAGTGGCATGAAGTTTAATATTATTCCTCTCAACCATTGAGCATAACATATAATTTGATAAAATATGAAAAGAATATTAAGTTAATGCCTTTCAGATTGCTCACATACCGATGTATTAGTAAAGTTGTTGATAGATTACTTATAAAGTACAAATAATTCAATTCATTTAAGTCAAACATTTTAATAATGCTTTTGATTACATTATTCATTTTAAAATATCTTTTCCGTGAATATTGTATAATATACATATAGTAATAGCGATTAAATTAGGAGATTTGATTTAAAAATTGAGAAGAGATTGATAAGATTGATTATGTACAACACGGAATTAAAACTACTCTCACTATCTTTGTTCATTTGAAATATTTCTGAAGGGCTTTGTAAATAATATATATTATACTTCAAACGATTGCCTTGATTTTTTTATTTAAAGTGACGGACGCTAAACGAATAATACGACGAAGTTTAAAGATACAGAAAGAAACTTATAGCTAAATTCTTTAACATTAATGAAAAATAAATAAATTCCGTTATATATGATTGTATGCATTTTTTTAAACTTTTTTTTCCAGTTTGTATTTTATTGATTTCTGCCGCACAAATAATGTTTGTTAGAATACTGAAGGATATCATTTTGGTCATAGTTGTTGAAAATCTTTAAAAAAAATATCGCTTTATTATTTTACATTCGATGAGAGAAAATGACACAAATATTAAAGTGGTCATTAAAAGGTTTACATTTTTGTGTGGACAAGTTTGTACAAGTATGTGTTATGTTAATACAGATTCCAACATTGTAGTACTAACTTTATGAATATCAACTTTACAGAAGGTGTTCCTGTCCGTATTAGTTGTTTTAGAACAAAAAGCCTAACATTTTTCTTATGTACAATTTCCACAGGTACATTTGTTACTTTTAAATATGACACATTGTTTCATATTTGTTATCATGTTAATAAAATGTTTATGCAATTATATGTGTCTTAATATATTTCTCCACCTTGTGGCATGCTTAATACTTATTGTGACCACGTCTGAAATGACGATGTTGTCTTCTAAAATTAATTGCATACCTTACGTTAAAGTAGGTTTGATAAAAGCTATATGAACATTTACAATAAGAATTTCAAGATAATTAAATTCACTCGTAATTAAATTATTGTTTTCCCAAAAGAGCTTCTTCTGTTATATCCATTATGTTGTTTTTGACATATTTACGTGTATAATGTTTCATTAAGTGTCATTGCATTCTAATAGAGTAGCATAAGTATTGAACAAATATAAAATGTGAAAACACTTCTGAAAGGACGATATCTATATCAGGATGAATTGTCTCAAATTACATGATTTGTAAATAATTGTAACCATGATTTCCTATGAAGTAATTGTCATGTCTAAAAGCTTTATTGTCATAGTATTGCCATTATTATGATTTTATCAAAAAGGTTCTAAAACTATAACTATCGAACGGAACTTGCACCGGGTGTTGCCTTTCTCTTATTGGTAAGATTAAAACATACCTAGGCGTAATGGTTGGTAAGCATGATTATTATGAAAAAAGCAATTATCATAGTTGCATACTGATGCTGTAAAGTTTTGGATAATTATAAGATAAAAAAATCATAATAGTTGCTCTTATGAAACAGAAATATATGTGACTAAGGTCATTCCAGATTTTGTTTGGAAAGCATTTTATACAGTTCAATTGATTGTGAAAACAATGTCAATTTACTGTTATTATGAGGCTAGTTGTGTTATAAACTATTGAAACTATCATAAAGGTCTATGCCGTAATAATTATTATAAAAATCGGTCCTATCAATCATCCAAATCCACAGAAAGTTTGAGACTTTTGGAGGAAGAGTGCTGAAAGAAGAGGTTAAGTAACAATTGTTACTCAAATCAAGTACAACCATTATATCTCATGTATCTATTTTTCTAATGTTTTTGTCTTACGTTTGAAATATCAAACACTATCACTTATTATATATTATAAAAAAAAATACGTACCATTTTTTTCAATGGACACGATCTATGATGAAAAAGCACCTTATCAATCGGTGGAATATGTATATAGCATACATTTCTCTACAATAGTTCGAAGTTAAGTATTGATTAAATCAAGACTACTTTTTGAGGCTTCATTATGAAAATCTAACAAATAACGGCTTGTAAGAAAGCAATTACCAGACAAAATGATGATGACCACCATTAATCAATGGTAGGGGAGATAATATTGACAGAACACAGGAATTTCAATTTACTTGGCAAAAGAAAAAAAAGAGATGTAATTGATAAGAAAACATCTCTAGAGGGCAGATTACTAGTATCAATGAATGTCCTGCTAACGTTTCTGAACCTTTGGGTCATGTAGCATTTAGATATTAAAACAAATCCATTATCGGGTTTTTGTTAATAGTAACATTGACGAGTAAAGGCTAAATGTAAAACAAGGATTTACCATGACACAATTTTACTCAAAGGTTTCACATTTTTTTAACTCCTCATTTTTTGTTTGTTTATTTTATGTCATCTCAAATATTAAATGTCAATTGTTTTGTCGAGAGAGTGGTAATATTTTGGTTTACTAAGGACATTTAAAAGTACACAAGTAAATATACATATAATATGCAAATATATCTGGCTATACACATCTTGTATCAAGTCAGTGTAAAACGAAACAAATATTATTAAGATACTTTTTATCACCTGAGAACTTAATATATTATCATATGTGTTTACTTTATTGATAATGCATTTCATTTTTATAATAAAATTGATTGATTTTTAAATGAAATTTTCACTGTAGCATAGATAATAAAATCGCATGATACAATATTATAGTGCCATGTTTAGAAATAATAAACAATGATTAAACAAAAATAACTAAATAAAGATAAAAATAATTTAAAAACAAAACTAAAAGTAAAATTTACGTTCAAGACATTTGGAAATTAACCAGGTCAATTGATCCATTATAGATTTTGCGAAAAACAAATTCGCGCGACTCTTTGCTTTGATCATTACAAAAAGTAACTTCAGTATCGGTATCCCAAAAACCCAATCCCTGCACATCACCATGTGCAGAAGTTTACACTGTCGGTTTCATTCTCCCTGTGCGGTACCCTTTTTATTATTACTATCAACAGGAACTACCGACATAAGTCACACGTTTAATACAATTTTAACTAAATTTTAAAGAAAGTAATGCCTCTTGACGATTTTTTAGCTCTTAGCAAAAGCTAATTCCTGTACTTTTAAACTGCCTCACTGATTGTTGAATTGCCTACGTAAATACCGAGTGGGCCGAAACTGTTCATGATGATAAAAACTATTGGATTGTATTCTGATTCCTGCAAATAAAACGAAAAATAGTGATTCATCGGAAGTATCAAACTTCAGATTCGGTTTGACTGACTATGTCTATGAGGGATAACGAAAAGGTGCAACATCCCTCACGGCCTCAGCACCGTGACCTCTCTACTTTTCGTATGTAATTATTCAAATACGTTACAAAACTCTGAGAACACATTAAAGAGTCGGCAAATATGTTTTATCTTTCCAATAAGATTTTTTCTTCATTTCGATCTACAAATATTCTACTATATTACCCTTGCCTGCAATAAATCAAGTGAGCAGATGTCTTTTCGCGATTATATGAAACAAATGAAAAGTACTATATTGTTTGTCAACGATTTAGAAGAAACTGACAGATGTGTAAAGCATAATTATTATGTCTCAGCTTGTCAATTTTAAATACCACGGCGTTATTGTCAGCGAAATGATGTGTGAAAGAATGACAATAGTCTTTAACAAATTTTTCCTGTACATGCAAATGACTTAAAATATTTCACCAGGCAGAAAACATGAGTCAAAATTGAAATAATATATCACTTTATATATATTGGACACGACAATTAAAAGTTTATTGGTCACTCCAGCGTTTGATAAAGCGTTGATTTTTTTTCGAATTTGTTTATTGTTGCTAGCAATTGTATGAACGCGCAACATTATTTAAATCATCTAGTCACATGACTCACATGTTTATTATAATTATCACTTGTTTCAAATTGCAGAAATACTACAAATGCTTTCATGTATAATTAATTATGTTTTGTTTCGGGTACTTTAAAGTACAAAATCAATGAATACATTTCGATTGTGTGTATGATTGCATAGTGTAATAATCCGGAAAAAAGAACACCTTTAAGTGATTTTCGAACATTTTTCATGTTTATAGCCTAAAACTAAATTCAATTGATTTGCATGAAAATGGCAACATGTTGTATACGATTTGTATACTCTCAACAAAACAACAAATTATATCAGTAATATTTGGTTGAAATCCATCAGTGGGAACTGCCAAGTTAAGATTTTCTTACGGCTAAGTGTGGTTTTGCTTCAATAAAATCAAGTAATCTGGGGTTAAATATCTTAGCAAATTCCATCGGATTAATCTTGAGCTTATTTTACTACTTTGTGGCGAATCACTTATGTCTAGCATTTAAGTGCACTTCACTTAAGTGTTAGGTTTATACACATACAATATTGCAATAATATCTTTGTTCGCCTGTTTGTAAAAACGTTTATAGTTCAACCCGATCGAGTAAAATGGTATCTAAATACGCTGTTCAATCTATCAATTAGAGAGAACCTCATAGTATGAAGTTTAATTGAGGTAATACTCACTTTTTATTTAACCGGCAAATACACTGAACCAAAAAAGAAACTTTCGCAAAGTATGTGCCATTTGTTCAAGGGTACCACTTAGATGAGCACACTTATATACATGTAGTAGCTTGTAAAACTCGTTTTGTTTGCAAAATCGGTGAGCTAATCCCCGTATAAAAGCCCGATTATGTTTATTCAACTTAAAAATCGAGTTTCAAAAGGATTGAAAAACTGTACTAACATATCTACATTCAAACTTGGAGAAAGTTTTCTTTTTTCAGTATATATTAGAGAGGATTATATAAGTGCCATCTATCAGACTCTTCCCTGTACTTATTTAAAAATAAATTGTTCGTCATGAAATTGATGACCTAGCTTGCAACTTGCATCTTTTTTGTTGTTTTTAAGTTACATAAATGAGCTGCGGCACATACAGCAGAAACAAATATGTGCATATAATTAAGAAATAAACTAAAACAATGAAGTTATTATTTTGTGCTATTATTAGCCCAAGTTTAGTGAATAGCAAGTGTCAACTGTTGGGCTTTGTCAAAAGGAATGGTCATTCTTAAAAATATGCAGTAAGTGAATGATTTGAAATGTTGCTCAACGTTAATTGGTCAGAACCTACGTCAAACTGAACATAAATATTGAACAATTATTTACAGTTCGTCATATCAACATAAATAAATAAATAAATAAAAATAAATAAATGAAAAATAATAAATAAATAAAAGAAAAATCAATTAAATCCATTACTAAATTGTGTAAAATATTATGCATGTATTGATGAAAATTAAATTTAATTGTAACGTGATCCAATTTGGTCTTTTTTTATTTAATGTGAGAGAATAAATATGAGCAAACTTGTTAAGAGACTACTTAAAAATGTTTAGGTAAGCTATATACTAGTTTATAATGTATCGCCTATTTAGCGTCTATAAATTATAGTAATTGGCAGTCGTCGATTAAAATTGGTATATTTAATTGATTACATTCATATTGAAGCATAAGTCGATTAAGATTAAGTTAAAATTATTGATACATTTGCAAAAGGTCCTTAATGTATTTGTATTCATCGTCTATATATTGTGTTTCGCGCATGCTAATAACGAAATTTGGCCGTGATTCCTAATTTGAAAATAGATGAACACATACTGTTTTTAAATTAAATAGCTTACTTGGTTTGCAGGTAAGAATTTATTAATTTTACAAGGCTATGAGCTCGAGCATGCAGGATGCCATATTGTCCCGCCCGCTTTCTAGCATATAACAGCCAAGTAACCGTTATGGGAAATTCCGAA